TATTCCAACAAGCGGGACTGGCCTAGGGCAATTTTTAGAGGGGTTTTAATCATATTTTAATTAGACTATATTTAAATATTTCTTCTTAATTAATTTTAATTCTGTAATTGTTATTTATGTTTTTTAAATCGATTGTCAGCCGCCCTGAGTCCGCAAGGAGAAGGGCGGGATATAAATTTAATAAATAAATAAATAAATAAATAAATAAATAAATAAATAAATAAATAAATAAGGTTGGATAGGTGTTCTCTTTCCATTTTCTTGCTTATTTTAATTTTTGTTTCTAGTTTGTCTTTTGCAGTGGTTTTTTGGGTATGTTGGGCTGTAGTTTCTTTTTGTGTGAAGACTGATGTAAGAATGAGTTAAGCAGCTTTCTGTTGCCTGTTATTTCCTTGCCATCTTCTCTCTTTAGTGGACCTACAATTTCCTTAACTTTTTTTTCTTGTTGTTAATATGTTGGAAGAAACTTTTTTTATTATCCTTGATTTCTGTTGCAAGTCTTTGTTCATTCTGAGCCTTTGCTTTCCTGACTTCATCTTTGCATGTTCTGACTGTCTGCTGATAATCGGCCTTAGTTATGTGCCCCTCTTTCCATTTTTTGTATTTGTCCTTTTTGTCTTTCAGTTTTTCAGAGAGATCTTTGTGCAGCCATGCACATGGTAAAACCAGAATTTATACCGAAAGCAGTGTTTCTCATGCAATTTGGAAACAGAATATATTTCATGCAATTTGGAAACAGAATATATTTGATTGGACCACAACTCCTTTAATTTCTCTAAAATTCTTTCTGATAACCCATGAATTATTTTTCATTACAGGTTTAACATGTTTTCTTTGACAAGCATCAAATGTAGCCTTTCTATGAACCATTTGTACATTCTTGCTAATGATCTGATTATTCCTAAGTTGTATGGTATAAACTTCATGAAAGTATATGTATGAGAAAGATTGCTGGTAAATTAGTAAGCTTCTAACAGCATTGCTATGTTTCCATCTAGAAATTCGAGCTCAGCTAACAGAACAACAAAAATGCCTGGAGCAGCAAACTGAGATGAGAGTGCAGCTTCTTCAAGACTTGCAAGACTTCTTTCGTAAAAAGGCAGATATAGAAACGGAATATTCACGCAGTCTTGAAAAGTTAGCTGAAAGGTTCATGGCAAAAACAAGAAGTACTAAAGATCATCAACAGTACAAGTAAGCTGAGGTTTCTTATACAATTGAAGGCTAAACTAATTTTCAGAATCACTGTGCAATCAACCATGGTTTGTCAGACTAGAATTGATCTTCTGGCTTCTTGTACTGAACCAATTTTTCTAAAGACATCCTAACCATTTTAAAAAATAGATATTCTCCATGAAATCTGAACTGTGATCGAAAGATGTCTTCTAAATTATAATGTGAAACGAATCATCTTATTTCAGTCTCATAATCTGGTTATTAATATTGTATTCTAGACTTAACAAGGAGATATGGTGAAAAAACCAAAGTATGTGAAAGTAGTATTTCCTAGGCAGATTATCCAGATATGTGATTTGCTCCTAGACTAGGTCAAGTTATATTAAACTAATACTATGAATCTGAATACAACTCAATTGTTCCATTTGTAAATGTTTTTCATTTGAGAGTTTCATGTTTGTTTAATTTCAGGGTTGTTTATTAAAATAGCAATATTTATCCTTTTGTATTTTGATTTTTAATGTACATAATCACTTGAGAATTTGGTGATTTCAACTACTTCCCTCCCTTTCAAATCTTGGAATATTCTGTACTATGTAATATCCATTATTGATTACCAGTGTTAGTGTTGATGCTTAGTGACCACATAAATAAATTTTCTCCAGGAGGAAATAAACATTTTAGAGATAGAGAAACGAAACAGACATTCTGTTTTAAATTTGTTGGACACCCAACCACAAAAGTTTATATCAAATACAGTGCCTTTGTGCCAACTATAAAACAACAGCAGAATTTGAATTGTTTTTGAAGTAGTTATATATATGAAGACATTACTGAGAGTAAAACCAGAATGCCCCTGCTTGTTTCATTTTTTGTGCCACCTAGAGAGTAGCTTTTCCAGTTTTATGATTAGCTTTCCACAAGGAACTTCTGGATGTCCTGTCCCTGAATTATATCTATATTTCAAACTATAGCTCTGAACTGTAAACACTAAAGCATACCATCTGGACAGGGCCTTGTTCGCTATTGTTTGTTGACTTCTTGCATAGATATGAATGCTACTGATAAAAGCAGATTTACAGGATAAATAAATATATGTTACCTTTTAAAAATGGCACATAATTATTTATGGCTTTATTTAAAAATGTAAACTTAGAATTTGATTGCAAGCCTATAACCTTTAAAAAAGTTTAAAATCTCAACTGTCAAATATGCACTGGAAGGCTTTACTGTGCTTTCAGAATGCTGATTTCAGCATTGAAAGTGTGCTTAATGAATGTTAAGAGATAATTTACACAAATACAATCCTGAAAATGCCAGCTTTGTTAATGTATTTATGTAATTTAATGGTTGCAAACATTTTATTTAAGATAAATAAAACACAATGGTACTTGTAACTGATATAAACTATATAACATATGTATGCTTACTAGGAAAGACCAGAATCTGCTATCTCCAGTAAATTGTTGGTACTTACTTCTCAACCAAGTGAGAAGAGAAAGCAAAGACCATGCGACACTGAGCGATATCTACCTGAACAATGTCATCATGCGTTTTATGCAGATAAGTGAAGATTCCACCAGAGTATTCAAGAAGGTATAATAATGTTATTTCTCTCATTTTCAATGAAATAGAGTTATCTAAAAGACATAATTTAAAAACGAATACTCTGCAGGAAATTAGTAACTGACTTCATTATAACATTTTTTGCTATAAATATGGAGAAGAGGCTTTTTGGTGAAAGTGACAAGAATCTGAAATTTTAAATGCAGAAAAGCTAAATGCGACATGCTTAAGTATACTGTGTTATCTTCAACAAAGGGAAGATAGTCTATAGATAACAAATCTAAGCCAATTTACAAGATAATTCTATTATTTTTTAAATACTTGTATTGTGGCTCCGTCTTGTGAGCCCCTCTTATCGGAGGAAGAAGGCTCCGAACATGAAGGAGAGGAGATGGCTAGGCCTCCCTCTCCAGAACCCTCCTCTTTGGCAATGCCTCAGGTGTCTTCCGACGGAGAAGAGATTGACCAGGAGCCAGGTGGTTCAGAGATTGGCCAGGAGCCCGGTGTGTCTCAGATTGGCCAGGAGCCAGGTATGTCAGATAATGAGGAAGAAAAGTTGTGGCTGGATCCACGCCAGCGTAGGAGCGATAAGCGTGCGCAGCAGAAAAAGAGACGTGCCAGAGATTAAGCTGAGTCACTGGACCACACCCCACAGGCTATAAAAGAGTGGTGGTGGCCATTTGGACCTCTGTGACAGACAAAAGCTGAATCTCTGGCAAAGTAGCGTGCTGTGGTATTGTTTTTGTTTCTGGGTATTTGGAGAAAAAAGGTCTTGGCAGGCAGCTACGGAGCTGCTGCCAAGTTTTTATCTGTGAAGTGGTGTCTGGAGAAGTCTTTAAACCCTTGGCTGGCTGTTTGGGTGTGTGGGTCGGAACGGGGACAGAACAACTTGGGAGAAGTTACATTTTTAATGAAAAAGAAAACTGCTATCAATCTTGCTAAAAACTCCACCATAAAAAAAACTGCAATAAACTTTATAAATTCTTTAGGTGGCTCTTGAGGATAAAACAAAGGAGATTGTAAAGTCACATGAGGGGATGAATTTGTCTAAATTAGGAATAAGGTAATTGTTCTGTTTCGATCGCAAAGGCATGGAGACAAAGCAGGAGTAACAAGCAGTATTGTCTTTATTCAATTCACTAACAGAACCAAAAACAAAATGGCGCGGATTCCTCTTATACCCCTTTTCAGGGACAGTATCAGCCAATCAATGCAAGGCATTTCTCCCGCCTTGTGCATGTGCGCAAGGCGGGAGATGGCCTTTCCGGTCCCAGGCATTCACGTGGTCTGTCCGGGCCTTTCTGCAGCTTCCTGCACCTGCTGAGTGACTCAGCAGGCTCAGGACATAACACCCCTCCCCCCTTGGATAAAACAATAAGCAAATACTTATTATTTTAAATTACTACAAACTATTCCAGTTCTTCATCTGCTTTGTTCACAACAGTAATACTCAATATTTTGTACTACTATAACTTCAACACTTTTTCTTCTGAAGTGTTCTACTTTATGTAGAACTATTAAGCTTCCTCCATACTTGACAGGAACCTCACATAGTCCTTTAAGTATTTGGGTGGACCCTTGGCCCGTTCTGACCTTCTTGTAGCAGGTGTGATTGCCTGGTCTGCCAGCTCGCATGCCAGGCTAGGCAGACCAGGACTTTGATGCCCCCTAGACTCAGGCGACCCTCCATGCTGCTGACTGGCTGGATCCTCTAAACCCAGACCAGAGTTCCTTGGTGGGGTGGAATTCCCCAAATCCACAATGGACCCCCCTTGGGAGCACTGTCCCATGAGCCCAAGACCAGCAGATGGATTGGCCTGAAAAGCCGGTTGCGAGCAATGTCCCATGGACCCGGTGCCAGGGACAGGATTGCCAGAGTCAGGAGCCGCCTCCATGGCAAGATCCCCTACTGGCACCTGGGAAATTCCGCTTTCACAGAGAGACTGTGGTCCACAATCATAATTGGGATCCTCCTCTCCCCCAAGAGCAGAGCCAGGAGCGGATGTGTGGCTGGGAAGACTCCAGCGCAGTTGATCGATGTGTTGACGGATCACCCGACCATCATCCAAGGCCACTTCGTATGACAGCGGCCCAGAGACCTTGCATACCACTGCTGTCACCCAGAGATGTCCAGGTCCATAGTTCCTTGCCCAGACCGGATCGCCCACCTGTAGTCTCCTAGGTGCCTGCGGCTGTGACACCTGTGAAGCCACCTGTTCTGGGTGCAACCTGTCCAGTTTAGTAATGAGCCTGCGACCCCAGTGGAGTTCAGCTGGGCTCTTCCCAGTGGCTGTGCAAGGTGTGGTGCCATGGCAAAGAAGAAAGTCAGCTAACCTGTGATGCCAATTTCCATGAGTGATCCTCTTTAAAGCATCCAGAGTTGTGCGCACCATATGCTCAGCTGGGCTGTTGGACGCTGGATGAAACGGTGCTGACGTGGCATGATGGATCAAGTTGGCCTGTAGAAAAGCCTGAAACTCAGAAGAAGTGAATTGGGGTCCGTTGTCAGAGACAAGGACATCTGGAAGTCCATGAGAGGCAAAACTCCCTCTCAACAACTGGATGGTCCTGGCAGTAGTAGTGGAAGAGACTGGAATGATCTCTAGCCACTTGGAATGGCTGTCCACGAGGAGGAGGAAGAATTGCCCCTGAAAGGGCCCAGCATAGTCGATATGACCCTCGACCAAGGGGCATGTGTCACCTCCCACCTATGTACAGGAGCCTGAGGCATTTCAGGTCTAGACTGTTGGCAAACAGTGCACCCGTGGACCTGGGCCTCGATCTCTTTATTGAGCCCAGGCCACCAAAGATGGCTGCGTGCAAGCGCCTTCATCCGGACTATTCCCGGATGTCCCTCATGCAGAGAGAGCAAGACTCTAGTCCTCAAAGAGGCTGGGATAACTCCCTGCTACCCCATAGGACACACCCCTTGAAGGTGGATAGCTCGTGCTTCCTCTTCCAGAAACTCTGGAACTCTGTTCCAGGACACGTGTCAGGCCATCCTGACAGCACCCATGTCAGCACATGTGTTAGCGTGTGATCAGTGGCTGTTTCTGCAGCCACGTCCCTAGCATTGAGGGGAGACTCAGGCAATTCCTGAATGGAAAGTATATGGTGAGCTGGAGCAGGATCTGACTCTACTAGCTGTAGAGGTAATCTGCTGAGGCCATCTGCATGGCCCATTTCTTTGCCTGGTTTGTGAACCAGTGTGTAGTCATATGCAGAAAGGAAAATAGACCACCTCAGCATTTTAGGAGAAATTATATGTGGGGTTTGCTTGTTGGTTGTAAACAACCCCAGCAGTGGTTTATGGTCTCTAAAGACCGTGAAATGGTGGCCATATAAAAAGTCATGGAACTTTTTTATGCCAGCCACTATGGCCAAAGCTTCTCTATCTATCTGTGCGTAATTACGTTCAGCAGATGATAGGGTCCTAGAATAGTAGGCTATAGGGACGTGTTCCATCAGCCTTCAAGTGACTTAACACAGCCCCAATCCCATAAGGGGATGGATCACAGGCTATGCATACAGGCAATTGCTCATTGAAATGCGCTAGAACCGCATTTGATGACAGCAAGGCCTTGACCTCTGCAAAGCTCTTTTCGTGGACTTTTGTCCACTGCCATGGAGCCTGTTTATCCAAGAGCCAATGTAATGACTCAGCCACTGCAGCCTTGTGAGGGAGGAATGAATGATAAAAGTTTAACAGTCCCAGAAAAGCCTGAAGTTCGCTTTTGGACTTGGGACTAGGGGCCTGCTGAATTGCTTTAAGCTTGGATTCAGCAGGATGGATGCCTTCAGCATCAATACGGAACCCCAGAAACTCTGTGGAGGTAACTCCAATTTTACATTTGTCTTGCTTTAGCTTCAGCCCTGCTTGGTGGAAACGCAGCAAGACAGCTCTAAGCCTTTCAGCCAGGTTTTCAGATGATTCCCCAGCGATGAGGACATCATCAAAGTATGGGCAAATGCCTGGAATATTGCGGAGTGTTCACTCCATCACACTCTGGAAGATGCCAGGGGCTACGTTAACCCCAAACTGCAGCCTTTTAACTTTAAATGCTCCCCGGTGCGTTACAATTGTTTGGGCTTCTGCCGTTGCCTCATCAACTGGTAATTGTTAATAGGCCTGAGCCAAGTCAAGTTTGGCAAAAACGCAGCCTCCTTTGAGGGAGGCCAGAATGTGGCTCACCACTGGCACCGGGTACGAGTAATGCTGCAATGCTTTGTTAAGTGTACACTTATAGTCCACACAAATTCGGACTTCTTCATTGGCCTTCAGTGGCATGACTATGGGGGTTTCCCATGGACTGCTGTCCACAGGCTCTAAAATGCCCTGCTGGAGCAGCTTGTCCAGCTCTGCATTTAATCTTATTCTTCAAGGCCCCTTGTACAAGCCAAGCTCTGAACTGAACACATCAGCAAACTCCTTGCAAACTTCTGCAAGGCCTGTCATTTGCAAACTGTGAAGTCCAGTCACTTGAATGTCAAGGGCCTCGAACCAATAAGACTCATGTGATCACCCCCAACTACCACCACATCTAGCAACCCTTCAAAATTCCTATGCTGCACCTTGAGCGTGGCCTCCCCCTTCACGCTGACTCGGGAATTCTGGAAGTCAGTAAGAATTAAATTCAATGGCCTGAGTTTAACTCGTAGGCCACTTTTACAACAAATCTTTTTGAAAGTGTCTTGGGAAATGATCGATAAAGCGGACCCTGTGTCCAACTCCATCGATAAGGGAACCCCTTGCAACTTCACGTCAATGTGAAGCTTCTTCCTAATCGGCCTACGAGCCCCGGTTTTAAAAATGCTTCTACGGGATGCGCAAAAACCCACCCTGTTCTGGCTGGGGACCCTGGTACCTTTCTGAAGCAATTCTTCCGAAGATCGGTCCTTCTGGCGACCCAAACAGACAGAGGCAATGTGGCCTTGCCTGCCACATGCCCGGCATTCTGTTTTATAGATACATGGAAGAATAAGCATTGAGTATTTTCACAGGGCTTTGCAGACTTTGCCCTGTTGTCAGAGAAATTATCTCTAAAAATCTATGGTACTTTCTGTTCAATAATATATCACTTACCTTAGCCCAGGAGTCTTCAAACTTGGCCCTTTTATGACTCATGGACTTCAACTCCCAGAATTCCTCAGCCAGGCATGGACCAAGTTTGAAGACCCCTGCCTTAGCCTATGGAAGAGACAACTAAGGAGAGATATGGTAGAAGTCTTTAAATATCTGTAGAGTTGAAACACAGAAGAGTGAATTTATTTTCTATAACGAGAAAGCAGGACCAGATTAAAACTACAAAAATGTTTGTAGGTTCAGTATGAGAAATTTCCTGACTTTATAGGAAATATTAAGCCAATGGAAGTTGTAAGTTCTCCAACATTGGAAGTCTTCCAACAAAAGCTGAAAGGTCATCTGCTAAAGATCACTAATGAATCCTGCAATGAGTAGGTGGTTGAATCACATTTAAGGACATTTCACACTATATGGTTTGATATTAAGCAATTAAATTCAAGTTTATGTAACCTGGGCTATTTTTCCTTGTCAGGGGTTTCAAATAATTACTAACAATTTTTAGATACCCATCTAGGGCAAAGTAATTACAAATTAACATTTTGGGTGGTATTTATATTTATTTGGGAGCAAGCCTTATTGCACTCAGTGGAATTTTGTTTTGAGTAAAGATGTTCTAAATAAATTTGAAATATCACTTTGCTAATACTTTTGGTATACACTTAATATTGCCTATTTTTCTGTTAAGAAATCTATTGTTAGTCACTAAGGGAAAAAAGAGTTATATAAGCCCTCCACATTTAACTTAATTAGAATATCTTCTTTCTTCAATTAAGATGTTTACCTTAATTGCTCTATTAATTCTGTGCCAGTAATAAACATTTCTTTTTTACAACACACATGTACACACTTAATTTGATTAAATCTGTGTCTGCTCTCTGATTATGATCAGAGAAAGGAGCAGTTCTTCAATTTTCAGTCTATTAGAAGAGCTGTGAGGTGCTCAGTGGCTATAGGATCCAATTAACTAGAAGTGCTGGCATTTACTTTTCAGCATAAATGTCAAGTGGATATTCATAAAAGCTTTTAGATCATTTCAAAGGTCACTTATTTTTTAAAACCATATTTTCCCCCTTAGGTTATTAGAACCCATAGAAAGAACTTCAGAGAGGCTTAAGCATAAATATGGCATTTCACTCTAAGTACAGTGTAGAAATATTATGAGTGTCAAAATCTATGCTTATATTAGAAAAGTGCTTGAAGCTCCTGGGTCCATAATCTTTTCCTTGAAAATTAGGGTATATTTTGGGGGGGAAAGAAGTAGGGGACAGATTTCCTTTGGATGTCTACAAGTAATAGTTAGTGAAATAAGATCCATTTCTATGCATGTTGATTGGACTTAGCCTGCACCTACCACTCCCACCAAGTGGACAAGCTAAAGTCCCCAAGTTACATTTATATGTATTACTTAATTCATTTCAATAAATAATCATTTTTAGACTAAGCAAATCTTCCAATTCTGTAACCCTTTAAAGTTCCATTTGCTGTAGGAATTCACTTATATTTTTATCTGTATTTGAAGCAGTTAATTTATACCAATCAATTTTCTGCAAATCCATGACTGTTTTTACTAGATATTCAACTATTGTATTGTTCTTCTTCCTTCTGTTGGACTTGTTAGTTAAATAAAAATTTTAGTATTGCCAGTTTGAGATGCCCAGAAATTTTGAGGGTAAAAGATATAAGAAATGTAGCGAGCAAGATGGTATTGTCAGACAGAAGAAAATTAGAATGGTAGAAAGATTTAGCAGCACAGAAAGAGATGAGAAAACAATGTGATTTAATTCCAGATCTAAACAAAAATGCAAAGTAAACTATTTCCATATGTATGCTAATGCCAGATTATCAGTCACAGAGAGTTTGCATTGCCAAATGAAGCAAAAGTATTGCGAATTCTTGGAAAATGAACAAAATTGTTTTTATTTATTTTTTAAATGTATATGCCGCCCATCTCACTGTCATGCAACTCTGGGCAGCTTACAATCCAATAAAACAATATTATAAAAGATTAAAACAATAAAAGATTAAATATAAGAATACACAATCTCTCTCCCCACCCTCCCTAAAAAATCCTGGATTTTCTCCAGGATATTACTGTGTTACCAAACATACTGTCTGTGATTCCTTTTAAAACAATTTTCACAGTTATTTAATGTATCAACAAACTCATCAACATTAACGGCCTACTTATAATAAATTAATGCCCTTGAAAAATTGGCAGTTGTTCTAATTGCATACAAAAGGGTTAAAAATTTGTGGCTTTCCAGTTGTTGACCTACAGATCCATAATTGTCAACCAGAATGGCCAGTGAAGAAGGATGTCGGGTCCACTTGTTACATTCTAATTAACTACTCACTTGCAAAGAATGCTAAGTTGAATAGTTTTAGTTCAGATCCAACAAAGCAGAACCTATTTTTTTCAATAAAAGTGCAGTGTCTTTACAATTACCGTGTTTCCCAAAAAATAAGAGCCGGTCTTATATTTTTTTTGCCTCCAAAAGAGGCACCAGGTCTTATTTTCAGAGGGTGTCTTACCTTAGGACCACCACAGCCAGGCCTCCCACACCCCAACACCTGTCGCCCCGCTGCTTGACTTCTTCTGCGGCCACTTGCCGCCACTTACGGACGGATGCCACATGGTGCTTCGGGCAGCTTCCGCTGCTCACATGGTGCTTCAGCTGCTTCCGCTGCTTGCACGCTTTGGGCCGCTTCTGCTGCTTGTGGCAGGAGGCACGTGGCACTTCGGGCCATTTCCGCTGCTCCTGCCGCAAGCAGCAGAAACAGCCCAAAGAGCCACGTGGCCTCCTGCTGTGAGCAGCAGAAGCAGCCCAAAGCGTATGAGCAACAGAAGCGATCTGAAGCACCATGTGGCATCCTGCTGTGAGCAACAGCAACGGCACAATGCGCCACATGGCATCCGGCTGCAAGTGGCAGCAAGAAGTCAAGCAGCAGCGGGACAGATGTTGGGATGTGGGAGGCCTGGCTGTGGTGGTCCTACTGCTAAGGTAAGTGGGTGCAGGGCACATGGGGCAGGTTCACTGCTCTACCCCCACCCTAGCTTGATTTTTAGGGGTGACTTACTTTAAGATTGAAAGAAAAAGAAGAAACAGAATATTTTCAAACCTGGGACCTATTTTATCAATGGTTAGAGAAAAGATTTAGGGATTAGGAATTTAATTTGCATTAGTGAATAAGATACTCAGACAACATGTTTTTGTTGAATGATTACTATTGAATTCTGTTAAAAAAAATCAATAAAACTTTATAATAAAAATGAAAGAAAAAACCTGGAAAGCAATCTGTTGCCAATGGAGTGGCTACAATAATTATTCAGCTGGCTAATTTGCAGATGTGTAGTACTACCAAGGGTAAACAAACATCCTTACTATAAAGGAAGGAAGGAAGAAAGGAAGGAGAGAAGGAAAGAAAGAAAGAGCCTTGTTATGAAAGAAACCTGTCAACACTCTATTTTGCAATGTTATGGCTGATTTAATTGTCACAGGGTAGCAAAAGTTAATATTGCTTAATTGCCTTCACAAAGTCATGCAATGTGTTTTGTTCTCTGACACCTGTCCCATGTATATACATATCTGCTGTTCATAACGCAGAACAAAAAAAAACAGAAGACTATGTTTTGGGTCTATAAAAGCTTTAGTGAAAAATATTTCATCTAGTTTTTGCTTAATGGTAGTTTTAAGTTTCTTTTCCTAATAATTCCTTTTTAATTACAGAGCAAAGAAATTGCATTCCAGCTTCATGAAGATTTAATGAGGGTTCTTAATGAGCTTTACACGGTAAGCATATTTACTTGAAGGAAAGAATTGTTGACTGAAAATCCTCTTTTACATAATTGTTTACATAAATGTTTCAGTTGAGTTAACCTGTTTTAGAGTAATATTAATCTAATGATATCTAAACAAATTAGATGGATTCCAAAGACAGTCTGTATCTTTCTAACTGAGCTTAAAAATTAATTGCTTTTATTATTCCTTCAAAGCCTATGAAATACTGGAAAGAAATTATGTAAAAAGCTCAGGACTCTGTCCATCTGACCATATGCCAAACAGCAGAATAATATTCCAAAAACAGAACAGAGTGTGATCAAATTTGGTATGGTGGGAGAAGCCAATAAAATAAATATTGAGTTTGAAAATGGCTGGATCTGGCAAGAAGCTGCAAGGAAAAAATGCAGAATAAATGCATTGCTGGAGGAGATGGACAACTGCTCTTTTCTTAAGCCTCACTTCCTCTGTCTCTTGGTCATGTGATCAAAGATGGAGCTACTTTGAGTTGCTCTTTTTAAGGGTTGGACAGATTTTCAGAAGCTATTCTCTACATGCTTGCCTTGCCACATTAAATTGAAATTATCAATTTTCCCACTTCTTTTATTTCTAAATGAAGAAGCCAGTGATGGTTTCTTTATTTTGAGCTATTTGCTTTTGTTTCTTACAGTGAAGTGGATTCCAATTCCTATCTACCTCTTTATTGGGATGGACTGCCTCCGTAACTAAAATCTCTACAAATCTAAAATGATCCTCCCATTTTAATGTTTTGTTTTCCTTATTGCTAAAATAGTAAATTTGGCGAGGCAAATTTGGCGAGGCAAATAAGCACAAAGTTGTAGTTGAAATTAAAAGGAACTACTTCAGAGCAGCATAAAAATAGAGGAAATACAAAGTTTAAATTAAGAAAATTGTGTCTCTGGTCAGTGCAATATACTGATAACATACCACTAAGTATATTCATTACAAACTGAAATGGGCTTGGCATTGCCGTCATGTGAAAATCCTTAAACAGCAGTGTTGCTATAAATTTATGCTATAAATTTTCCACTGGGGAAAGAGAGGAAGAGACAGATATTAGTTTGGTTAGTGACCAGATAAAGCAAATAGACCCAACACTATGGATTTGAATATAAGAAAATAAATAATAAAATGCTATTGCCAAAACTTCAATTCTATGGTTCTAATGCTTCAGGTGAAAAAAAAATCTTTATTGCTCAAGCAAAAGTGCAATGAATTAACAATCTGAGTATGAATATAATATGGATTGAGGCTTCCATTTGGAAACTCTGTTTATAAATCAGAACAGAAGAGAATAGAATAGAATTCTTTATTGGCCAAGTGTGGTTGGACACACAAGGAATTTGTCTTCGGGGCATAAGCTCTCAGTGTACATACAAGTAATCAGTGCTTTTTTGTAAAAAAAAAAAAAAAAAAAGGTGCCAAAACTCACGCACAGCTCCGGCTCCAGTCAAAAGCCCTTTATGGAGCGGAGGGGGGAGGAGAAACTGCTTTAGGGAGCATCTGAGGCACAGATCACTCACCTGGAAAAGGTCTGACTCCTTTCTGCCACGGTTCCTGCTACCGCTCCGATCTGAGGCCAGGGGACGCGTCCACAGCCCCTTGTGGCCCAATCTGGGCTCTGGAGGCCTGGAAAAGACCTCTGCCACCCGGATCCATGGCCACGGAGCGATTTTGCAACCCCCATGCGGCCCAATCTGGGCTCCGGAGGCCTGGAAAAGGCCTCCGTAGCCTGGATCAGGCCGCACGGGGGCCGCAAAATCACTCCGCAGCCATAGATCCGGGCAGCAGAGGTCTTTTCCAGGCCTCTGGAGCCCAGATTGGGCCGCGTGGGGCTGTGGGCGCATCCCCTGGCCTCAGATCGGAGCGGCAGCAGGAACCGCAGCAGACAGGAGACAGACCTTTTCCAGGTTAGTCCCGCGTGGCAGGAAGGGAGGGGGAAGCATGAGAGCCTTAAGTGAATGCTCGTAACTCAACTTGTGCCGGCAGCTTAGAAGGAACCAGTTCTTCTGTTCAAAAAAAGGTGCCAGAATGCCATTCTGTGCGTTCTATGACAAAAAAACCCACTGCAAGTAATAGTGATAATCATGATAATAAACAACATGAAAATATATTCATCATAAATTGTAAAATACAACACTTCATCATAAATCATAAGATGCAACACTTAGTGATAGCCATAGCATACTAGCTAAGCAAACCACATAAATCATACTAAGATACTAAAAAACAATATAAATTGTAAGATACAAACAACAAAGTTATAGACATAAGAAGATTATAATTAATAAGAAAGATGAGGAGTATCATAGTAATGCAGCTATACTAAGTAGTTTGACAGTGTTGTAGGAATTAGTTGTTAAGCAGAGTGACGGCATGGGTGGGTGGGGGGAACTGTCCTTATGTCTAGTTCTGGTGTGTAATGCCCTATAGTGTCGTCTTGAGGCAAGAAGTTGAAATAGTTTATGTCTAGGATGTGAGGGATCTACAGACATTTTCACAGGCCTCTTTCTTGCTCGTGCAGTATATAGGTTCTCAATGGAAGGCAGGCTGGTAGCAATTGTTTTTTCTGCAGTTCTAACTATTTGTTGAAGTCTATATCTGTTTTGTTTGGTTGCTGTTCCAAATCAGACAGTTATAGAGGTGCAAATGACAGACTCAATAATTCCTTTGTAGAACTGTATCAGCAGCTCCTTGGGCAGTCTGATCTTTCTGAGTTGGCGCAGGAAGAACATTCTTTTTTGTGCTTTTTTGATGACATTTTTAATGTTAGGTGTCCATTTTAAATCTTGAGATATATTATAGAACCTAAAACCGTAAAGGTCTCTGCTGTTGATACTGTATTGTCTAGTATTGTAAGAAGTTGTAGAATAATAATAATAATAGTAAAGTTGGAAGGGACTTTGGAGGTCATCTAGTCCAACCCCCTGCTCAGGCAGGAAACCCTATACCATTTTGGACAAATGGCTGTCCAGTCTCTTCTTAAAAACTTCCAGTGTTGGAGCATTCACGGCTTCTGGAGGCAGGTTGTTCCACTGGTTAATTGTTCTAACTGTCAGGAAGTTTCTCCTTAGTTCTAGGTTGCTGCTCTCCTTGATTAGTTTCCATCCGTGGCTTCTTGTCCTGCTTTCAGGTGCCTTGGAAAATAGCTTGACTCCCTCTTCTTTGTGGCAGCCCCTGAGATATTGGAACACTGCTATCATGTCCCCCCTCGTCCTTCTCTTCATTAAACTAGACATCCCCAATTCCAGCAGCCATTCCTTATATGCTTTAGCCTCCAGTCCCCTAGTCATCTTTGTTGCTCTTCTCTGTACTCTGTACTCTTTACTCTTTACTCTGTACTCTTTCTAGAGTCTCAACATATTTTTTACATCGCGGTGACCAAAACTGGATGCAGTATTCCAAGTGTGGCCTTACCAAGGCATTGTAAAGTCATATTAACACATGTGATCTTGATTCTATCCCTCTGTTAATGTAGCCTAGCACTGTGTTGGCCTTTTTGGCAGCTGCAGCACACTGCTGGCTCATATTTAGGTGATTGTCCACTAGGACTCTGAGGTCCCTCTCACAGTTACTACTATTGAGCAAGGTACCCCCTATACTATACCTGTGCATTTGGTTTTTCTTGCCTAAATGTAGAACCTTGCTTTTTTCACCATTGAATTTCATTTTGTTAGATAGTGCCCAGTGTTCAAGTCTGTCCAGATCCTTCTATATCTTAAGCCTGTCTTCTGGAGTGTTGGCTATTCCTGCCAGCTTGGTATCGTCTGCAAATTTGATGAGTTCCCCATCTATCCCCTCGTCCAAATCGTTGATGAAGATGTTGAAGAGCACTGGGCCCAGAACAGAGCCCTGGGGTACCCCACTACACACTTCCCTCCATGTAGATGCGGTTCCATTGAGGACCACTCGCTGAGTACGGCCGGTCAGCCAGCTACGGATGCATCTGGTGGTGATGCTGTCTACCCCACATTTTTCTATCTTGTCAAGTAGTAGGTTGTGATCTACTTTATCAAATGCCTTACTGAAGTCCAAGTAAATTATGTCCACAGCATTCCTCTGATCCACTAATTTTGTCACTTGGTAAAAGAATGCAATAAGATTTGTCTGGCATGACCTATTTTTGACAAACCCATGTTGGCTTTTAGTAATGACTTTGTTTGCCTCTAGGTGTTTGCTGATTCGTTGTTTGATTATCTTTTCCAGGATCTTCCCAGGTATTGAGGTCAGGCTGATAGGTCTGTAATTTCCTAGGTCCATTTTTTTTCCTTTTTTGAAGATGGGAACTACATCAGCTCTTTTCCAGTCCTCTGGTAGTTCCCCTGTCCTCCAGGATCTTTGAAAAATATAGTTCAGTGGTTCTGAGATCACATCTGCCAGTTCCTTGAGAACCTTGGGGTGTAATCCATCTGGTCCTGGCGATTTGAACTCATCTAGGCTGGACAGGTGCTGACTTGCCATTTTCTTGCCTATCTTAACTTGTGTTTCTATTCTGTTTTATGGCACTATTTTTGATAGGTTGGTCTGTTTTTTCCCTTTGTGTAAAGACAGATGCAAAAAAACGAGTTAAATAGTTCTGCTTTCTCCCTATTGCTTGTCAGGTTGCTAGTAAGGTTTCTCCTAAAATCTGCTATCATTTCTACAGTTTTGAGTGTGTTCAGTTCAAAATTGTTCCAGCCACACCACAAGGCTAGTTGTTCAACCTCCCATCTTTATGCAGATTCGTCGTTATCTCGAATGAGGCCAGTCACTATTGTATCATCTGCAAACTTCAGTACTTTAACAGAGAGATCTTTTGAGATGCAGTCATTGGTATATAGAGAGAAGTGGAGAGAGCACACAGCCCGGGGGGGGGGGGTGTTGTGCTAATTATACAGATATCTGGTGTGATTTTGTGTAGCTTCACTTTCTGCTTCCTGTCTGTTAGAAAGCTTATGTTTCACTTACAGGTGTGGTCAGGCACAGCTGGCTGATTTAGTTTACTGAGAAGAATATCTGGAATGTTGGTATTGAATACTGAGCTGAATCATATCAATTGATATGATTTTGTGAATCTGAGAATCCACACATTCTTCCTCAAAAGTATCATTGCCACACTGTTATCACAGAGCTATATAACTGATTGATAGATTCTGCCTTTTAGGATGAACTCCTGACTAGAAGTTCTGAGTTGAAATTCCAGCACCTCCAGGGGATGCCAAGTTAGAGAAAGGTGCATTATGTCATTAGCATTCTGTAAATAGGTTGGGTGAATAGTTCTTTCCTTTTAGTATGAACTATTAACAATAAAGGAACAGGCAGTTAAGAAATATGACAGAGTCTAGGACTTGGTGGAGAACCATGAAGACCTTGGAAAAGATATTCAGATGTTGTGATGTGTCTATACATACAAACATCAGAATCATGAAAGCTACTATTTACACACTCTTGGAAAGCAAATGTTGAACTTTGAAGAAGCAGAATAGAAAGAGTATTGATGCTTTTGAATTTTGGTGTTGGAGAAGAATCCTAAGAATACCATGGACAGCCAAGAGAGCAAAAAAAAATGGATCTTCAAACCAATCAACCTAGTATTTTCTCTCAAGGCACAAATAACCAGGCCTATATTATCCTATTTTGGACACATTATGTGAAAATCTACAATAGCTTCCTAGAGAAGGCTCTATGCTGGAAAAGGTGGAAGGAAAGAGAAGAGGACCACTAGTAGCAAGATAGCTGGAGCAGCAGGGCTCAGTGTCAATGTGTCATTGGAAGATCTGAAAGACCAGGTTAAGAATAGATTATCATGAAATCATCATAAATCTATCTATGTGGTTGCTGTAAGTAAACATCAAAGTTGGATAACCTATGGTAAATAATTAGAGGATTTTATCTCAGTTTGGTTTGCTATCTCACATTATATGTCATGTAATATTTATTGAGTAGCTAGCCATATGAATGGGAAGAAAATGGTTGGCCCAATGTAATACTTTTGCAATGCAGTTTATGTAGGATTATTTATGAAAAAAAATTGCTGGTTGCAGTTGGGATAATTATGTAGGAGTGCAGCACTTGATAGGAAGTACCATTATATGTAATGGCTGACTGTAGCAATTTAGGCATAATATTGCCTTAAACAATGCAGTCCTAAGCAACTGTGTTACTAAATACAATAGGGCTGTTCTGTGACTTCTGTATGTTAACATCATCAAATCATATACTAATACATACACATATACTAATCAGATTTGACTCTGGTAGGTTTTTCAGCTCAGACAAGTCACCCAGGTTCTACCACTTGCTGAGGCATAATATTACTTTAAAACGTATTGCTTAAATAATAATTTGGAAGAACTGCTTTAGATGTTACATTGAGCCCATGCCTTAAAAAAAGGGCAGCTACCTTAAGGATTCATTAAAGTTAATGTGATTCTTAAACAGTTGCACTTACATGAAATATTAACATTGTTTTTTTGTTGTTGTTCTCTGTCTTACGGTTAAATATTTTGTATGTTAGCTGACTAGACAGGGGTAGCTAGAGTTTCTGCTGATATTCCCCATTACAGGTACTCCTCAATTTATGATCACAATTGGGACTGGAATTTCCATTGTAGTGGTCATAAGTCAAGTCATCATGTGACCAGATCCAATTTTATAAACATTTTATTGTGTTCATTAGTTGAGTCAGGTAAGTTGTAAGTTAAGTTATGCAGTCTTGACAAATCATGATCACGTGACAGTAAGATTCTGCAACCAGTTGTAAATGTGAGTCACTTGCCAAGTGTGCAAATTGCATTTATGTCACTGAGGGCAGGGCAACAGTTATAAGTTCAAACTTAGGTCATAACTGACTTTTTCAGAGGCCATTGTTAATTCAAACCATTGTTAGCAAGTGGCCATAGGTTGAGACTTCCTGTAGTACAGGACAGTTGCATGTGACAGAGCTGATGTGTTTCATCTCCATATCCTTTCACTGGGGTGATTTTTGAAAAAATACAAATGCTATTTTTGGGGATATTAACAGAACTTGTAAAAATACTCATATTCTATTACCTGAAGTGATGCACCATATAAAATAATAAACTATTTTTCAGATGCTTTTAGAAGTCATATACAGGTAGTCCTCAATTAAGAACAGTTCATTTAGTGACCGTTCAAGGTTACAACAGCACTAAAAAAAGTGACATATGCCATTTTTCACACTTATGACTGTTGTAACATCCCCATGGTCATGTGATTTACATTCAGATGCTTGACAACTGACTCATATTTATGAGAGTTGCAGTGTCTCGGAGTTATGTGAGTTTTGCAACTTTCTGACAAGGAAAATCAAGGGGGAAACCAGATTCACTTAACAACTATGTTACTAATTTAACAATTGCAGTGATTCACTTAATAAATATGACAAGAAAAGTGGTAAAATGGAGCAAAACTCACAACAAATTTCTCACTTAACAACATAAAATTAGGGCTCAATTGTGGTCGTAAGTTGAAGATTACCTGTAATTATACATATTGAATAAACAGGAACAGATGTTATAAGCTGTTTACAGCATACAGTTAAAAGTGTAAATTTTGGAATGGGAATAAGAAACTAGAAATAATTAATTATGATTGTATAGATATTTAACATCTGAAAATGACCAAATTTGCATATTTATTGTAAAGTATCTAGATATGCATGGCAAATGAACCATTATAAACATTTTAAATCAACAAATATCATTGATACATAGCTGCATACTTTATACTTGACACTTCTTTCTTTTAAGGATCTACCTTTCTAATAGCTGATGTTGTTCTTACTAAAATGAAATTAAAAATACTTTACGAAAATAATTATATATTAAACTATAAATCCTTAGGCAAAGTACAGTGCTATAGAATTATAAATTAAACAAGTAAGACATTTTAATTATATACTTTTCAAAATTATGTTGTTTTTTCCAAACAAAAGTTTTATAATATAACTCAGACTTAGAACTTATAACCTATCCTGAGCCCTAGAACAGACAAAGCAATAATTTAAAATAGTGTATAATGCAGTTTTCTTCATTTTCTTATCTTATCTTTAACTTTTAACTCTCTTGGGCCCAGGTTATGAAAACATACCATATGTATCATACTGAGAGCATCAGTGCAGAAAGTAAATTGAAAGAGGCTGAAAAGCAAGAAGAAAAACAAATTGGCAGATCTGGAGACCCTGTTTTTCATATTCGACTGGAGGAAAGACACCAAAGACGGAGTTCAGTGAAGAAAATTGAAAAAATGAAGGAAAAAGTAAGGATCAGTTTACCTTAATTGTTTGAAATTAAAATGATAGTAATTCCAAAATTCATTTGCACTTTGTTCATGGTTTTGTATTGGATTGGATAATTTGGGCTGGAGATAAAATAGTGTCATATTCACATGAGTGGTCCTTTCCTGTAGAGATGGGGAAGCTGATGTTTCATTGGTTGTATTTCTACACTTAAAGCAATTAGAAATTGAAATCTAAAGCTAAATGTATAATGTTTGTGGTATAAATCCACAAACAGGTTATCAACAGAGCAATGGGCTTTGCTATCCTCTCTATTTCATCCCTGTGAACTTTTTTTTCTGTTGGAGAAACTCCTTATTTTTCCTCAACTATGGGATGCTGTGGCTAGTGAATCAGGACTCCCATTGGTCAATATGGCTTTTTGTAGTTACATAATATGGCTGGTCACACAGCCATTTTGCACATCAATTAAAATATTGTCTCTCTGGTTTTGAAACAACTCTATTCAGTTTCTTGCAGCATCCCATGATCTGTGTCATATAGCAGTTTTGTAGTAAGAGGAAAGTTAAAATAACAATCAACCAACAGATCAACCTATCTTAGACTAATCACTGGGTGGGTCAAATCCCATGATAAAAACAGTATATGCAAACAAACCCCCAATAAAACAAAAAATAGATTTGCATATAACTACATACATTTCTTAAGAAAGGAATGTCATTGTTTACATATAGTGAATATGTCATTTTGTTATTTTGTAAAATAGTGTCATAAATTTAAAATTTTGCACGTGTGTTAATATATATTTTTGCTAACTTTAATTATTTCTATTCCCAGCGTCAAGCAAAATACTCTGAAAACAAACTGAAATCTATTAAAGCCAGAAATGAATATCTGCTAACCCTTGAAGCAACAAATGCATCTGTTTTCAAATATTATATTTATGACCTTTCAGACCTGATTGATGTAAGTAATTGGTATCTCTAAAATTCTTATGCTACTGGATCATGTTTAGAATTCTGGCTCTGGTTTTTGTTGTTTAAAATGGTAGGATAAGTGTTATGTTAAACACAGTTATAAGAGGGTTATTTTATTTAGTGTCACCTTTTGTTCTACTGAATTATAGGAAAATATAGGGAAAACATATAACAGTATAGGCGTACTCCTACTTAAATGCAGCCTAAGTGCTAGGACTACTCACCTTAATAAGAAATGTTTGGGCTGTTTAATGTGATCAATATGACAATTTATCATGAAATTATTGTGAGAAGCATAGAATGCAACATAGCTTTAGTAACTTAGCTTCCATTATAGTTCTTCCTTATCCAATAATTATTCCATAATTGTAATTATTATATAGGTCTTTTATTTAACATATTTAATAACATCAGTCATTGATTATTAAATAAACTGCAAAGTTTTATTATGTGGGAATATAGTAGTTGTTGCTTTTAGCTACTGCGTTGAAATTTTATTTTTATTTCTAAATGTATTTTCTTCTTTTGGCTATTCTGTTAGTGTTGCGATCTTGGATATCATGCAAGCTTGAGCAGAGCCTTAAGAACATATCTCTCTGCAGAATATAACCTTGAAACCTCACGACATGAGGGCTTGGACATCATTGAAAATGCTGTTGACAATCTGGAGCCCCGAAGTGACAAGCAGAGATTCATGGAAATGTATCCTATAGCCTTCTGTCCTCCAATGAAATTTGAGTTTCAACCCCATATGGGTGATGAGGTCAGTAATTGTTGACCAAATGTTTAAATAGTCCCATGCTCAAGACTTCCTATAGTAGAAAGTTTATCAAGTTTGGAAGAAGAAGTAAATTCTTCAAGCAGTATATAATTTATAGAGAATAGATATCATTCCATCCTTGTAAAGCCTTCTGTTTTATAGTAGTAAGAATACATAATATCCATTTCCTTATTTTCCTGTTATATACTGTAACTCCAAAGAAATCTCTAAAACCATACTTTGTCAAGGTAATCCTCAATTTACGACCATTCATTCAGCAACTCTTTGAGCTTACAACTGTGCTGAAAAAATGGACTTATGACTGTTCCCGAAGCTATAGTGGTTGCACTGCCCTCTCAGTCACACAATCAAAGTCTGAGCTTTGAAAATCCATCCACACTTATGACCACCGAGTGCTTCTCAGCTCCCTGATCTGCCTGTTTTCTCCCATCTCTGTCTTGGGGTGCCCCGCACACTACCACATACCACTCTACTTAATCTTGGCCTAGCCTTCTTCTGGCAAAGCCTCTCAAAGTACCAAATGTGTTGAAGCCTAGAGATCCCTTCTCACAATTGCACAATTTTTAATTTGGTTGCTAAGATTAAATTAATAAATTTCTTTATTTTTAAGCTTATAATTTGGTCCTGTAAATAAGTGCAGTAAACCTAGCTCTGGGAACATTCCATTAGTGATAGTACTTATTTCCCCGAAGATTTTATGTCCAGAGATTATGACTTTATCCCATTCCACCACAAATGAAAAAATGACCCCTTTTTTGACAATCTTTCCAGCGTACGGAAGAATAAATTTGATATATATGTGCCAATCTAACAGAAATCAAGTATCAGTGATGTAATCTTCTACTGCAATTCTTGCATTGAGGCTAAAGTGAATCCACAGTTTCCATAACTTCTGTGAATTTGTCTCCTTTATGGGATTACCAAGATCAGTATCCCAAGCTTCCTTTAAACCATATTGGTGGATCTCCTATTTCTGATTGCAGAGATAACCTATACATTTTTAAAATTGTTCCTTTGGCTTGTTCTAAATATTATCACATCCTGTGCCAAGCACATTGGGCTACCAGTGTACTCCACAGCTTTCAATCTACAGCTGCAGTCTCCACATCCTTCAGTTTAAAGTTGATGTTTTTCAGATCTTGAAATGTTTGGCACCAGATTTGCTTTGATCTTCCTCTTTTTCTCCAACTATCTGGTGGTATCCAATTGATTGTGGTCTTTGGTGGACATTGCTCACTCATGTGGAGCACATGTCCAGCAAAGTGCATTCTTAATAATAAGTGGATCCTAAGCCCTAACTGTGATGCTTAATAATATTTTAACAAGTTGGACGTACCCCAGCCTCCATTTCTGAGGGCTACATAAAATCCTTTTATTTGCTCTCAGTTTTTCCCATGAAAACAGAAGTTTCTTTTTTTCTTTTCTTCTTTTCACCAATTACCATTGGTAGGCATTGAAATAAAAAATTAAGCCATGCAATAATTTTCATTTTTATCACTGCAATTTTCCCAAAAATATTGAAATGCTATAAAGTCCTATTTTTCATTTCTTTGTTTAATTTCTTCCATATTGGTACATAATTATTTGTAAAGAGTTTATTAATATTTTAGTAATATTGATTCCTAAATATTTTAAAGATTTATATACTATTGGAATCCCTAAAATTTAAATTTTCCTTTTGAGTTTTTTTAGAATATATAAAAAACATCAAATGTGATTTATGAAAATTAACTGATAGTCCTGACACCTCTGCAAATACCTCTAACTTCTTCTTAATATAGCTAGCTGAATGAGGCCCATATAACAATAATAACAACAACAATAATAATAATAATAAGTTGGAAGGGACCTTGGAGGTCTTCTAGTCCAACCCCCTGCTCAGGCAGGAAATCCTATATCATTTCAGACAAATGGTTGTTCAGTCTCTTCGTAAAAACTTCCTGTAAGGACCCACTTCAATCCACATCTTAAGAAAGCAGAACTCTTGGAAACGGTTTCTTCCAACAGGAACTTTTATTAAGAGAAATTGATAGCAGGCATGATAGACAGGATCTGAGGGATTTCCTTACAAATCAATGTTTTAAAGTGTCCCTAAGCAGCCCCCACCCCGCAGTTCTTCCGGGCGATTCAGATCGGCAGATTTCTAGGTGTTAAATCCAGGAAAGATAACATCAATCTGGCTTCGTTGTACATGATCATTCAACAGCTCCTCATACCTTATTTTGATGATGGATAAATAAACCAGATTCCGGAGGCTGCATCTTTTCACAAACACACACACCCCTTCCTAGCTGGCCGGTAAGGAGGAGAAGTTCAGAGGGGCATAGGATAAAAGGCTAATGGTTACATTGTGATGGTTAGCAGACCCAAGGCGAATAAACAAAAGGTTATTTTGTAGTGAATAGAGGAAGTAAAAGTAATAAAACTCTCATGCATACTCCCCCTCCTTATGCGTATGGCAGGATTCAGGAGAGGGTAAGAATTGGTTTTTTAGATCAGAGGAGATACATAGAAAGGAAATATAGCTGGATCCTGACACTTCCGTGTTACAGCATTCACAACTTCTGGAGGCAGGTTGTTCCACTAATTAATTGTTCTAGTTTCCATCCATTGCTTCTTGGCTTGCCTTTAGGTCCTTTGGAGAATAGCTTGACTCCCTCTTCTTTGTGGCAATCCCTGAGATATTGGAACACTGCTATCATGTCACCCCTAGTACTTCTTTTCATTAAACTAGACATAACCAATTCCAGCAACCGTTCTTTATATGTTTTAGCCCAGTCACCTGATCATCTTTGTTGCTCTTCCCTGTCTCAACATCTTTTTTACATCGTGGTGACCAAAACTGGATGCAGTATTCCAAGGTGTTATAAAGTGGTATTAACACTTCACGTGATCTTTTTTTTTTTTTTAAATTTTTTTTTAATTGATTTTTCATTGAAAAACAGAAACATAAATCTTTTATCACAATATCAACCATAAAAAGAATCAACACCAATCAATACATTTACGGACGTGTCCGGTGTCCCCCTTCCGCACCACCCTCTCACTTGCCTACACCTTCCTCCTCGCTATCCTACCACCACTCCTCCTTCCTCCCTCTTTCCTACCTCCCTTTCTCCCTCAACCATCCCGTCAGTGCAGTTGGGGTACCACCGGGCACCTCCTTAAAAAATCATACATATATATACATATAAATCTATAACAC